TGTCATAAATACTAAAGTAGGAAAATTACTTTTCCTTCAGGAGGCGATTGACAAGGTACACCAAATTTGCATCACAAGTTTGTCCTTAAAAGAGGATGATTAATGAATTTTGATCTCAATAAATTGGGTAGGGTTTAAATTTCTCTTTATAATGCCCCAGGTATTAGCTCAATCGGAGTTTAGACGAAAAAGTTATTTCAGAAATACAGTTTTATTTTGTTGGCTGATGACATATTACCCCAAACTTGCATTACAGTTTCGACCATGTAATTAGAGGATACAAGAATTTTGATCATAGTAAACTGATTAGGCATTCAATTATTCTTTAGAATTCCACCAGAATCAGCTTAATCGGAGATTGGAGGAAAAAGTTATGTCAAAAATATTGTTTCCCTTCGGAGTTAGATGACTTACTACCCCAATCTTTCGTTATAGTTTAGACCTTGCTAGAGGATGATTCATGAATTTTGATATGAAAAAACTGGTTGGGGATTCCAGAATTCTTTACAATGCCACAATAATCAGCTTTATCGGAGAACTGAGTAAAAATTATGTCAGAAATACTAAAGTAGGAGAATTACTTTTCCTTCTAGAGGCGATTGAAAAGCTGCATCAAACTTGCATAACAATTTTGACCTTGATAGAGGTTGATTCGTGAATTTTGATCTTAATAAACTGGGTAGGGTTTTTTTGTTCTCTTTATAGTGCTGCAAGAATTAGCTCAATCGAAGTTGGGGAGAAAAGGTTATGTCAGAAATACAATTTCATTTTGGAGGCAGATGACTTATTACACCAAACTTGCCTTTCAATTTCGACCATGTAATTGGAGGATTCATGAATTTTGATCATAGTAACTGATTAGACATTCAATTACTCTTTAGAATTCCACCAAAATCAGCTCAATTGGAGATCAGAGGAAAAAGTTATGTCAGAGATACTGTTTCCCTTCAGAGTTGGATAGCTTACTATACCAACCTTTTGTTATAGTTTAGACTTTGCTAGAGGATGATTCATGAATTTTTATGTGGATAAACTAGTTGGGGATTCATGAATTCATGAATTCTTTACAAAGCCGCAAGAATCATCTTAATCGATGGTCAGAGTAAAACTTTATGTCAGAAATACTAAAGTCGGGGAATTACTTTTCTTTCAGGAGGCGATTGACAAGCTACACCAAATTTGCATTACAATTTCAGACTTGATAAAGGTTGATTTGTCAATTTTGATCTGAATAAACTGGGTAGGTTTTAAAGTTCTCTTTATAATGCCGCAAAAATTAGCTCAATTGGAGTTCAAAAGAAAAAGTTATGTCAGAAATACAATTTTATTTTGGAGGCGGATAACTTATTACACTAAATTTGCATTACAATTTTGACCATGTAATTGGAGGATTCACGAATTTTGATCATATTAAACTGATTAGGCGTTCATTTACTCTTTTGAATTCCACCGGAATTAGCTCAATCGAAAATCGGAGGAAAAAGTTATGTCAGAAATACTATTTTCCTTCTAAATTGGATGACTTACTACCCCAACCTTTTGTTATAGTTTAGACCTTGCTAGAGGATGATTCATGAATTTTGATGTGAATACTCTTGTGGGGGATTAAAGAATTATTTACAATGCCTCCAGAATCAGCTTAATCGAAGATCAGAGTAAAAAGTTATGTCAGAAATACTAAGGTAGGGGAATTACTTTTCTTTCAGGAGGCGATCGACAAGCTACACCAAACTTGCATCACAATTTTGACCTTGATAGAGGGTGATTCGTGAATTTTGATCGCAATAAATTGGGTAGGGTTTGNAGCACTGCCTAGAATACTAGGCAGCTAGAGCAGACCCTCTTAACCAATCCCTTGTCTGTGCACTCTCATAGCTATAGTCTTTAGTCTGGCAGAGGCCATCATTTGTTGGTCCTGTTGTAAAATTAGTTTACCCGAGCTAGGAAGCATACTACCATCAGAAAAATTAGAAGAGCTACCAGACTGAACTGCATAGGAAGCCAGGAAGTCAACAACTCTATTAGCTTCACGATATACATGCCTAATCTGGAACTGCAACAACCCCAGCAAATCTATGATCTGTTCCATGTAGGTAGATAATTTCCATGGAACCTCAACCATACCTAGAACCATCTTAACCAACACTTGGGAGTCAGACTCCAATATAATATGAGAGGTATTCACACCATAGTTCATGAACATTTTCAAACCATCCAGCAGCGTCAAGCATTCTGCTTGCATGTTTGATCCTATACCATAGTTGACAGCAGCAGCAAGCAGAACATACCCCTTAGAGTTCCTTAAAACCATTCCTCCACCAGATATTCCATTGCTTTTGGAGGCCCCATCGACATTTAACTTCACCTTGTTCCCATCAGGGGGTTCCCATTTAATCCATTTCACCTTAGTGATAACAGTAAATTGAGCAATCCTAAGGTCCAGCAGTATAGCTTTTCCCACTATGCCCTCATCCTGCTTGGGTTTGATCAAGTAAGCTTGCCATTTCAATGCATTAAGCACCTGGAGAAAATTTCCATGACTGTTTGAACACAACCCTTCAAATCTCCTTTTGCACCTTTCTTTCCATAAAGCCCAGAAAATAAGCATAGAAACACCTCTCACAAGAGCATGGCTAAGGGAAGGGCTTCTGAAGCATCTACAGATTCTCAGGAATCTGTAAATAGGAGGCTCCCCAAGCACAATGTGAAAGCCCATAATGGCAGCAAATTTGTTCCAAATAGAATGAGCAAAAGGGCAGGTTATAAAAATATGAGGAACCGTTTCTTCCTCCATACCACAAAAGCAGCATATACTGACAAGACTAACCCCCACACTTTTGATTCTATCATCAGTTGTAACTGCTTTCTTATAAATCTTCCATGTACACAGCTGGGCACTAGGAGGCATTTTCTGATTCCAAATACATTGTGCAATAACACAATGTGCCCTGGTCCTTCTAGTTTGCTCCCATGCAGATTTGATAGAAAAACAGCCTGAGTTTGTATGCCTCCACACTCTTCTGTCCTCCTTCCCTGGAACAATGCCACCAGAGTTACAAATATCCTCTTGCAATTGAGTAGTCAGTCTTTCCTCAATCCCATCAAAATGCCATTCTCCATCATACCATAATTCATTGACCTTAGGAAAATAGGAGGGGAGACTTTCAATTCTGTGCAACAACGGGCCATTCTTCATCCAAGAGTCACACCAGAAATCAGTATATTGCCCATTTCCCAGCAAGACCCTAGAGTTATTCGCCACAAAGACAAACCAAGGTCTTAATATCTTGAGGCTCATTCCAACTCCATTATGACAACATCTCAGAAGGTGTTTTCCTTGAATGAATTTTTCTTTGAAAACTTTAGCCCATAAGGAGTGCCCATTAAGAATTCCCCATACCTGCTTGATTCTGAAAGCAGCTTGAATTTCACCAAAACATCTGATACCCAGCCCACCTTCACATTTAGGCTTAGAAATATTCTCCAAGGAGACCCAATGTCTTCGTCGATTATCCAATTTACTGGACCAAATAAAGCCAGCAATAAGGGAATTCAGTTTCCTCAAAATCCCTTTTGGAATGTTTAAGCAGGCCAGCATATGAATTGGAATAGCACTCAGGACAGACTGGATCATAACAATCCTACCCATGCCAGAAAGCATTTTGGCATACCATCCCTCAATTCTACTTCTGAAAGTTTTTATGATATCTTCAAAGTAACAAAGCTTCACTCTACCTCTGAAAATAGGGCAGCCAAGGTAAACAAAAGGACATTTTTTAATAGGAATTCCTACCAAATCTGCCAATCTCTTCCTCCTCACTACAGAGATTCTTTCGAACAATACATTGCACTCTTAGATTTGCTCACCTTCTGACCAGAACTAGATTCATACTCCCCAATAAACTTCAGCACATTCATCACAAATCTTTTAGTACCTCTCAAAAAAAGCAGAGTATCATCCGCAAACAGCAAGTGACTTACCACTGTAGTACCTCTGCCAATGTGAAAATGAGAAACTAAGTTTTGCTGGTATAATCTTCTCAGTACTCTACTCAGAACCTCCTCAGCCAATATGAATAAAGAGGGAGAAAGAGGATCCCCTTGTCTTAGCCCCCTGGAGTTAGGGAAGTAACCATATCTTTGGCCATTTAAGCAAATCGAGAAATGTTGAGTGCTCAAGCAGTTGTGAATAATTTGATTAAACATGTTGGAGAAACCATAGCGATGTAGAACTTGTAGCAAAAAGTCCCATTCAAGCCTGTCGTAGGCTTTCATCATATCCAGTTTCATCACCAGATTACCTCCCTCCACCTTCCTATCCAGCTCACCAACCAATAACTGCCCCAGAGAAACACAATCCCCAATACCTCTGCCTTGTACAAAACCATGTTGTTCCTCAGAAATCAGAGAAGGCAGGAGGGAAGAAAGCCTAGTAGAAATCAGCTTGGTGAAGATCTTGTATAAGAAGTTACACAAACTGATGGGTCTAAAATCAGAGAAGGAAACGGGAGCATCCTTTTTGGGAATAAGCACCAGTAAAGTTGAATTAACAGATTTTGGCATCTCTCCTCCTTTTAACAAAAAATTAACAGCTGAGCATACATCCCCTTTAATAATCTCCCAGGCAAACTGAAAAAATTTNCTTAGGTTCCTGTAAAGCCACGAAACATACATCATGCAATCTGATAAGCTTCTTTAATCTCCTCCTTTTAGCAGCTTTCTCTGCTCCCCTCATGTTCCATGAAATCAGATTAATCATGAGTTTATAGGGTGGTGTCCTCCACTGGAGCATACTCCATTACCAACATCATGTACATAAAAGGAGCTATCTTGATCCTCAGCCTCTTCTATTATAATTCTCTGTCTTCTGGAGCTGACTTGATCAGAAGAGTACCCCTTGTCTAAGGGCAATCTCTCATGAACCAGACCCATTTGATCATCCAATGTATCCCCTCTTCCTTTCCTTATGTCATAATCATGCTCAACGAAGAAGGAGGAATTCAAAGAAGGGGCATACAGAGCAAAACATTCCCCAGATTCTCTTTAGGTGTCCCACACCCCTCTCTTAGGATTCCTGCAATAGGTTCATTGGGCATTAACACAACAGCATCAGCATCCTCCCAGACAGCCAGATCCACTCCTAGATTATAATCATCCTTGTTAATGAAAGGATCAGGGGAGGAAGAGGGCAGTGTCTCTAGACTGACCCCAACAACATTTGGAGTATCCAATGTGCTCTGTACCAAAGGGCTGGACCCTATTTTTTCCAACACCTTGCTCACCCCCATCCCATCATTCTGCAATCTCACCCTATGCTGAGTTTCCCTCTCCATAGAAGTTGGGGCATCTCTTGTTTGCTGACTCTTAGCCATAACCTCTCCAATTTGTTGTTGAACACAGTCACCAAGGGTTACTTGGGTAGATANTATGCTGAGTTTCCCTCTCCATAGAAGTTGGGGCATCTCCTGTTTGTTGACTCTTAGCCATATCCTCTCCAATTTGTTGTTGAACACAGTCACCAAGGTTTACTTGGGTAGACAGATTTTGGTCTATTCCATTAAGCCCATCCACCAATTCATTCTCCTCATTCAATGCTGCAATGTTATTTCCTTTTTCTGGATTCTGTTTAGATTGTTGCCCCTTCTCCTGTGCATTACTCCCATCAACATCCTCATTTAACTCATTCAAGGCCTCAAAGTTATTCCCCACACTTGGACCTTGGAAAACAATTCTAGGTCTATATTCTTTCCTAGGAATTCCTTTCTGCACATCCCCAGCAATAGCTTTCCCTTTCCTGTTTTTCCACCCTTCATCATGGCTCAAGCCATTCATTTTATCAGTTTTCTGCTCAACAGTGACCTCCACCCCTTCCTTCTTCTTTTTGCGGCACAAGGATTCATCATGACCCTGTTTCAGACAAGCAGGGCAATATTTGAAATCCTTCTCATATACAATCCTTTGCCATCGAGCGCTCATGCCCCCCATATCAAGCCAGAACCTCTTAGGATTACTAGCCAGTAAATTCATTTCCACACATGCCCTTGCCACTCCAGGCCTAGAAAGATTTAAGGTGGCATTATCAATCACTAAAATCTTACCAATGGGGCTTAATATATCTCTCAGGCTTTCTCTATTAAAAAGATGGATAGGTAGACCAGGTAGAGACACCCAAACTGGGACTAAAGGAGGTTCAATTCCAGGGAAAAACTCTGGAAACCATTTAAAGAAACGGAATAGAAATCCTTCAATGTATGTAGAATCCTTAAGCCACACTTTCACATAATCTTCGTAGTTGGAAAATCTAATGAGAATATGCCTTGGGTCTAAGGCGCCTACCGTAAAATCCCCTTTCAACAGCCACCTAGAGTTTATAAACTCCTTCACAACACCAAGTGATGGCTTACCATAGGCACATTTGCCTATCAACGTGAGGTTGAAACCCTTAGAGAGCTCATGAGTTTCATCTGGAGACCAGTACATCCCTGGCTCCCCATTGTTGAAAACAACCCTTTTGGCAGGCTTAGACTGAGTTGTAGAGATAAAAGGAACCGAAGTGACCGTATCTGGTGGTATCTGAGCTTGTTGGCTGTGTTGGGTAGTCGAAGCGACCAGCAGAAACTGGTTTCCCTGCCCAGGCAACTAGGTTTGTAATGCTGGTAAATCACGATTTATCAGAGAAACATGAGGGAACGGAACGCTAGAGGGAACATTAGGGATTTGGGATCCCATTCCAGGCGAGGGTATTTGAATATTTGCAGAGGTGCTCACAGTCGAAGGAAAAATCGATGGAGAGGTAATATTCGAGCATGACTGATTATGGTACAAAGGAGGATGAAGAGGCATATGGAAGGTTTGAAAACAGCTCACCGAATTCACAGAGGATGGTGGAATAATAGCTGAAGCAGACGGGGAAGGGAGAAAGATTTCCCTGTTTGTGGGTTTCTTGAACAGAGAAGCAAAGTTTTTGGCTATGTTTGGCGGTTTGGGAGGGAAATTCAAAGAATTTGTTGGGGTTGAGATGGGAACCCGAGAATCATCATGCGGCTTAGGAGGAATTTTGCACAAATTCTGGGTAGAATCCATAATAAATGCACAAATCTGTCAAAATGAAGAAGCAACAGTGGCAAAAATAAGGTAGAGAGAAGTGAGAGTTTCTCTCACTAGAAAACTTTTCCTGCCTCCTCTAAACCCTAAACCCTAACCCCTAACCCTAAACCCTAAACCCCTAACCCTAAACCCTAAACCCTAAATCCTAAACCCTCAACCCTCAACCCTCAACCCTCAATCCTAAATCCTAAACCCTAAACCCTCAACCCTCAACCCTCAACCCTCAACCCTAAACCCTAAACCCTAAAACCCTAAACCATAAACCATAAACCCTAAACCCTAAAACCATAAACCCTAAACCCTAAATCCCTAAACCCTAAACCCTAAACCCTAAAACCCTAAACCCTAACCCCTAACCCCTAACCCCTAAACCCTAAAATATTGTTTCCCTTCGTAGTTGGATGACTTCCTGCCCTAACCTTTCGTTACAGTTTAGACCTTGCTAGAGGATGATTCATGAATTTTTATGTGAATAAACTAGTTGGGGATTCATGAATTCTTTACAACTCCGCAAAAATCAGCTTAATTAGAGATCAGAGTAAAAAGTTATGTCATAAATATTAAAGTTGGGGAATTACTTTTCCTTCAGTTGGCGATTGACAACCTACACCAAACTTGCATCATTTTTTCGACCTTGATAGAGGATGATTTTTGACTTTTGATCTCAATAAATTGGGTAGGGTTTCAAATTCTCTTAATAATGCCGCAAGAAATTGCTCAATTAGAGGTGGATGACTTATTACACCAAACTTGCATTACAATTTCGACAATGTAATTTGAGGATTCATGAATTTTTATCATAGTAAATTGGTTAGGCTTTCAATTACTCTTTAGAATTCCAGTGGAATCAGCCCATTCGGAGATCAGAGGAAAAAGTTATGTCAGAAATATTGGTTTCCTTCAGAGTTAAATGACTTACTTCCCCAACCTTTCGTTGCAGTTTAGACCTTGCTAGAGGATGATTCATGAATTTTGATGTGAATAAACTGGTTGCGGATTCAAGAATTCTTTACAACGCCGCAAGAATCAGCTTAATCAGAGAGCAGAGTAAAAAGTTATGTCAGAAATACTAAGGTAGGGGAATTACTTTTCTTTCAGGAGGCGATCGACAAGCTACACCAAACTTGCATCACAATTTTGACCTTGATAGAGGGTGATTCGTGAATTTTGATCGCAATAAATTGGGTAGGGTTTGAAATTCTTTTTATAATGCCGCAAGAAATAGCTCAATTGGAGTTCAAAAAAAAAAAGTTATGTTAGAAATACAGTTTCATTTTGGAGGTGGATGACTTATTATACCAAACTTGCATTACAATTTAGACCATGTAATTGGAGCATTCATGAATTTTGATCATACTAAATGGATTAGGCATTCAATTACTCTTTAGAATTCCACTGGAATCAACTCAATCGGAGATCGAAGGAAAAAGTTATGTCAGAAATACTGTTTCCTTTTGTAGTTGGATGACTTATTACCTCAATATTTCGTTACAGTTTAGGCCTTGCTGAAGGATGCTTCATGAATTTTGATGAGAATAGACTGTTTGGGGATTCAAGAATTCTTTACAATGCCGCAAGAATCAGCTTAATCGAAGATCAGAGTAAAAAGTTATGTCATAACTACTAAAGTAGACGAATTACATTTCCTTCAGGAGGCGATTGACAAGCTACACCAAACTTGCATCACAATTTCAACCTTGAAAGATGATGATTCATGAATTTTGATCTCAAAAAATTGGGAAGGGTTTAAAGTTCTTTTTGTAATGCCGGAAGAATTAGCTCAATCAGAGTTCGGAAGAAAAAGTTATATTAGAAATACAGTTTCATTTTGGAGGCAGATGACTTATTACACCAAACTTGCATTACAATTTCGACCTTGTAATTGGAGGATTCACAAATTTTGATCAGAGTAAACTGATTAGGCATTCAATTACTCTTTAGAATTCCACTGAAATTATCTCAATCAGAGATCAGAGGAAAAAGTTATGTCAGAAATATTGTTTCCCTTTGTAGTTGGATGACTTACTACCCCAACATTTCGTTACAGTTTATTCCTTTCTAGAGGATGATTCATGAATTTTGATGTGAATAAACTATCTAGGGATTCAAGAATTCTTTACAACGCCGTAAGAATCAACTTAATCAGAGATCAGAGTAAAAAGTTATGTCATAAATACTAAAGTAGGAAAATTACTTTTCCTTCAGGAGGCGATTGACAAGGTACACCAAATTTGCATCACAAGTTTGTCCTTAAAAGAGGATGATTAATGAATTTTGATCTCAATAAATTGGGTAGGGTTTAAATTTCTCTTTATAATGCCCCAGGTATTAGCTCAATCGGAGTTTAGAAGAAAAAGTTATTTCAGAAATACAGTTTTATTTTGTTGGCTGATGACATATTACCCCAAACTTGCATTACAGTTTCGACCATGTAATTAGAGGATACAAGAATTTTGATCATAGTAAACTGATTAGGCATTCAATTATTCTTTAGAATTCCACCAGAATCAGCTTAATCGGAGATTGGAGGAAAAAGTTATGTCAAAAATATTGTTTCCCTTCGGAGTTAGATGACTTACTACCCCAATCTTTCGTTATAGTTTAGACCTTGCTAGAGGATGATTCATGAATTTTGATATGAAAAAACTGGTTGGGGATTCCAGAATTCTTTACAATGCCACAATAATCAGCTTTATCGGAGAACTGAGTAAAAATTATGTCAGAAATACTAAAGTAGGAGAATTACTTTTCCTTCTAGAGGCGATTGAAAAGCTGCATCAAACTTGCATAACAATTTTGACCTTGATAGAGGTTGATTCGTGAATTTTGATCTTAATAAACTGGGTAGGGTTTTTTTGTTCTCTTTATAGTGCTGCAAGAATTAGCTCAATCGAAGTTGGGGAGAAAAGGTTATGTCAGAAATACAATTTCATTTTGGAGGCAGATGACTTATTACACCAAACTTGCCTTTCAATTTCGACCATGTAATTGGAGGATTCATGAATTTTGATCATAGTAACTGATTAGACATTCAATTACTCTTTAGAATTCCACCAAAATCAGCTCAATTGGAGATCAGAGGAAAAAGTTATGTCAGAGATACTGTTTCCCTTCAGAGTTGGATAGCTTACTATACCAACCTTTTGTTATAGTTTAGACTTTGCTAGAGGATGATTCATGA